TAAAAAGCATTGAAGCCGGCCACCCCTGCAACAGCATCCAGGACCAGAGGACTGGCCTCGAGGCCTCGGGAGGCCAGCAGAGCAGCTTCCAGCCCCAAACGTGAAGCGTTGCCGATGTGCAGAGGTTTAGACTGAGTGGCAGCATTAGCCATCGGGGCTCCTGCCAGAGAAGCAGCTATAGCTAAGGCATGACTGCACCGGGAGGGATCCAGAGACAAGAGGCGAGCACAGGCGGCTGCACTGCCCATAGTCCCGACCACACTGGGAGGATGAAACCTGGGATCACAAAGAAAGACACAAGAATCTCAGGTCAAGAGTTTTGTTACTATCTACTTTTGTAACTTACAGGTAAATTTTAAATGGGTGCTAGTGCTGGGATTTTTGGGCGTTATTTTTTTTTCTTTAAATATGTAATGTGTGACTATGAGCAGCTACCTCTCTTTCACAGTAAAAACTCTATAAAAACACTGCTCATGACACCGCACTGCTTCCCCTATAAATCAGTACAGACACTGACAGGATCACTCACAAATATCTTGAAAATCGTTGCCCTACATGTAAAGAATAAATGTAAAATCTTCAAGGAACTGGTCAAGTGCAGTAACAGTAAATGAAGACCAAACAACACCTAGAAATCTTAGTGCAGTGTTATGACTTAAACAAGGTTTGGACTATTAGACTACGTCTCATTTGACTCTGAAGCGCTCACCTCTTGGGAATGTTGTGGGCCTCATTAGAAAACCTCATTAGTCGGCCCTGAATCTCAATGCCCACGTTGAAGGCCAGCAAGAAGTCCAGACCACTGGGCTTATTGTTAGCTGGCATCATGTCACTGAGAGCCAGCACAGCAGGAAGGACGGCTCCTGAGGGATGAGTGGCAGGGTGCCACGTATCATCAAAGTCCATGGAGTGAGTCTGCAACAAGAAGACAGCTTTATAGCAATCAAATAACAATAATATTAGCAACAGCATTGTTTATATAGAAGCTTTTAAAGCAGAGTTTACAACGTAGCGTTAAACCAAGAATACAATGCCAAATGTAAAATGCACAGTGTCAGTATAAATAAATGCAAATATAAGAAAAAAAAGCACCAAGAAGCAGTTCTGTAAAAATGAGGCTTTAAGAAGTGATTTAAGAGAAGTCATTGATTCTGTGAGTCTTTCTTGTCAGGCAGCTGGTTCCAAAGCTGAGGGGTCATGATCACAAAACCGGGGTCATGTTTAGATTTAAGCCTCGACTTTGGAACAGCCAGAGGATCTGAGGCTGCAAACTAGTTCGTATGGCAACAGCAGAACCAGACATACTTTTAAAGTGACTATCGTGACACATCTGTTCCACTTATTTACACTCACCGCCACTCCATTGACAAAAGCTGCCAGTGTTGGGGAGAGTCTGCTGCCTCTGCGTCCGTACACAGAGCTGATGTCATCAGGAGCATACATGTGCTGGTGGGAAAAGACGGAGACAAGTAAGCACAAGTGCAAGGACAGTGTGGTACAAAATGTATATTAATGATTCTGCACACACACAGAATAACTTTCCCCCGCTTGAAAAGACATGACATTGACTTGACTAATCCCAAACACTAACAATAGTCACCACTTGCCAAAACCAGACTCACAACTTAACCTGAAACTGAGACTTCATGCTAAAATATACTCATGAACTTTATGCTGATTTCAAAAGAAAGAAATTCCCACGATGTTCACACAGATTTTTCTCCTCACCATGACTAATACAAGTAGACATGGACACACAGTCACACTAAATATAAATATCTAATCGTTCTTTAAGCTATATCAGTATATATGAGTCAGTCAAAGGATTTTAAATAGTGAAATATCAGATGTTTCTTTCACTTTGTCTCACCTGGCAGTGCTGCAGGGCCAGTTCAAACACATCTGTTGTGCTTCCAATCAGACCAACTCCGATGCTGTCCAGCACCATCCTCTTACTGCGGTGAAGCACCACAGGAGACAAGTGCTGGGGCTTAATTTCACTGATGAACTTCCCAAAACTGTCCGTGACTGTGTCTTCTGGGGCTGGACGCTGCAAGACTGCAGAGGGAATGGAAACACGATTAACAATCCTCACAAGCAAGTTAAAGCTGCTCCTATTGTAATGGACTGGGGAGAAAAAAAAAAAAAAGACAATCTATTACAATTTGCAAAACAATTAATATCAAGATCATGAATGAGCAGCCTCCTTCAAGTACCAGAGGATAGTTTACCTTTCACTGCAGATTTATGCATCCCACTGACAGCCCACACTGCTCCGATAGTTTTCTGTGGATCACAAGAATAAAAAGTTTAACATTTTTCATTACTTTAAAACAGTGGTTAATCTGATCATATAATTATAGTTATGTTTGTCAGGCACAGATAAAGTTAAATCTCACTGTTCTCACAAATCTTACTGACTGTAATTAAAGCCTCTTTTGAAAGGTGTGTTGCTGGTGAGAGTTTTCCGTAACAGGTGTGGTACAGTATGTGAAATATCTTCAACTTGCTATTTATTAATTGCAAAATAATGGAATAAATCTTTGACTAAATGGAATAAAGTCAATTTTTAGTTTCAACATGACAAACAAAAATCACATTAATGCAATTCGCTATTGTCTGTGCAGTTGGACCATAAAATGTACACCTCAAAACTATTCAGATCCTTACCTGCAGCTTAGACATCATGGCTTCACTCTGGTGTTTTGGTCACGCTGAATTTATCCTTCTTTCTGCGGTGAAGAGTGATGCTGTACTGAGACTGGGAAGATGCCTACCTTATATAGCCCAGGGCTTGGCATCGGCTAACAATACCTGCCTTGAAGGAATGAGGAAATAAAGATGCAGAATATCACGGGAAAAGTTTCCCTCATAGTCATACCTGGTTTTATAAGCATCATCTTCCTCAGAAGAGCAGGTGATGGAGGATGACAAAGGGATGGGATTGTTTTGCTGTGGAGGTGGGTGGCAGCGGTCAAGTTCCTTACAGGAAAGACTGTAGGTTCGTCAAGGAATTTTTACATAACTCCTCCTACAATGCGATAAGTCTTATGAATAACAAACCTGGATCTCTGCTTCAGAGCAGCTCAGCACCTCATCTTTGAAGCATCTTGACCAAGTAAGACTCTATTTTCACATCTGACTAACAACTAAGTCTTTATTTCATGTGAGCTTAAAAAAAACTAAAATTCTAACACAATGATATTAGTTTTATTTTTAGACCAATGTTCAAGCAAAAAGCACAATAAGCTTTTGAAAGTTGTACATCTTGTTAAGAAATTGTCTGGTGGATCAAGATTATTATGATTTAAGGTTGCTCATTTAGGTTATTTTTTGACATTGCCATGAATACATAAAGCATTGATATAAACTCAGGCATTATATTTTCTTAGTTCTTAGTTTATACATTTCTGTTTAAACTTGGTGATTGAATATCAAATTTAATTTTTATTGTGAAATACTTAGCAAGCCGCAAACCTACCACAGAAACTAATTTTGCTTTCTGCATTTCATTTGGCAATTTTGAAAACAAATTGTTAAAATAAAATAAATCAGTAAAATATTGAATCAGTATTATGATGGCATTTTTCAAAGACTGACAAATTATGTTAACTCATAGAAATTCTCTGTGTCATTTGTATATTATTTACCAGGTGTTTCATCAGAACTACAATTTGATAAGAAAGACATCATGGCAACATCTGATGGATTTCCTGCCAGTTTCTACGGGGAACCAGGAGTTTTAGGCATGTTATCCAATGGGATCAGTGCATTCCTTGTACTTCTGCAAAACTTCAATACAGCTCACACTGGCAATGCACCAGAAGGAGTGGAGAACATACTTGCAGGTAAAATATGGAGCAGTTGTGCTATATATTTAAATATGGTATAAAAATAGTTTAAACTAATTTCATAACACTTCTTACAGGTGTTCATCTGATCCTGATTGGTGGGATATGCCAACTGGTGGCCGGACTTCTTTCCTTTAGAAAATATGATCACCTGAGTGGCACTGCGTTCATTGGCTACGCTGCTCTTTGGGGTAGTTATGGTGCAACCCGCATCTACTTTGGTGCCTTACCTCAAACTGTGACAACAGCATCCATGTTGAGCAATTCATCTCTGTCCACAAACATGACGAGCAACATGTTCCTAAATGCCTCCACAGAGACCCCAGTTTGTCCTTTATGCCTCTCCATCAGAGAGTCAGCAATTGCGGGTCTGGTTCCCTACATCCTTCTGTCCTTTCTCCTCGCATTTTGCTCTGCCACGGTCAACTACATCATGCCTTTTGTTTTTGGGGCCATTACAGCCACTTTAGTCTTTGAAGCAGCGGCTCTCGTAACAGGCTCCTGGGCTCTGGTGGTCGCTGGGGTTCTGGAACTGCTCATCTTGATCTTTGCCATCTATGGTTCAGCTGCACTGCTCATCAAAGGTCTGGCACAACGTCTCGTCCTCAAAGGCTTTGGGACGCCCCTCTTTAATGTTCTCCTGCTAGGGACGGCCAACTCAGCAAGTGCCCGGAAGGTAGGCGAAGAGAAGAAGAAGAACACAAAATATGCTGAGCCCATGGCCTTGGGTTTCTTCTGTGACTCTGTTGCTCCGTTCATTTTTGCTTTCTACAGCTTTGGGTACATGAAATCATTTGGTTTAGGAGCTGCATGGGTCTCAATCATCTCAGTGGCCCAGCTGCTCTCCAGCTACTATGCCCATCTGCGCCAAGATTGCTACCACACTACAAAGTTTGGTTTTCATGCCACCTATTGGCTGATCAAGGCTTGGGATGAGTTTGTGGCATCTGCTCTGATCGTGGAGGACAGTCAAGT